CCGGCGGCCTTCATCTTTCAGTGATGGACCTTCGTCTCCCGATGCCTTCCCGCGGGAGCCGGGCAGCTTTTCCAGCTCAGGCTCCGAGCGGAGGTTTGAAGCGAGGGCGGACATTACAGGCGTGGCCGGAGAGCAGAAGGGACGACAAAGCCACCCCAGGGTAGCACCAAGTGCCTCTCTCCTTCCCATCACGAGGACATCACCCTCCACCAGCCTGCGGCCCCATCCTGCTCGCGGGCTGCCTCAGCCAGCGCCGAGCCGCGGCGCGCCAAGAGGAGCTTGCGGGGCGGCAGAGCAGCGACGACTTCGGGTCTCCTTCCATTCCGCGTGTCGTTGAAGCGCCACGGTTTTGAACTATGCCGCTTTCCAGGGGTGGGTTTCACACGGCAACAAATTACAAACCGGACCTCAACGGGGAAATCCAAGGGGTCGCACCACATCGAAGGCGGGGCACGAAGTTAGACCTGTGCAAAGAGAACGCAGAAGGAGCAGCTCCCGTTCTGGCAGGGAAGCGCCCTGCGCTTTGTGCTGGTGGAAGTAACGGAGCGAGGAGCAGAGCCAAGAGGGTTCACAGCGAGCGGAACCGGTACGATCCAAACACGCAACCACGAAAAAAAACCTCCGAACTGACCAAAGTCCTTCCGAGAGCAACCCAGTGACCTCCGGCGGGTACATCCCAACACACCCCGAATTTCACGTCGTGCTGAGCAACGCCACCGGCTGCTCCTGCAAAAAGTCTTTTAAGCTGGCAGCAGCGCGCCGTCCGCTCCTGAAGAGTTAAGCCCTATTAACCGCGATTAACGAGAGCGGGGAGGACCAACAAGCCCAGACGCACACCCAGCAGCACACCACCCCTGGGAGAGGGTCCCTTGGACAAGATCTGGTTTTGACACGGCAGCCTGCCTCGGACTCGCGTATGAAGGAGGGACGACACGGAGCACGCCGCTGCCTTTGAGCCGACGACCCGCGTCACTACGCAGGGCTCATTTATCACGGTTAGGACAGTTCGTTTCCCGTGGGCTTAACCCCACATTTACGCTGGAGCAGTACTCTGGAAGACCCAGGTCAAATAGTTACGGACACTAACGTTCACAGCAAGATGCCCATGAATCCACGTTTTACGCTGCGCTCAGCAGTTACAGAGAACCCCCCCGAAAAGGAGGTACACGGTAACTCGATCATCAGTCCGAGGTAGCGAAATAGTGTGCAAATAGCAAAAATAGTAGAAAATTTCTCTTAAAAATTTCACAATCTGTAAATCAGGACAGAAATTAAGAACGTGACCCCCGAGTAAGCACTAGTAGATGATGTCACCAGCAAGGTCACCTCTGAATTTCAAAGGTGGGGAAAGAGAGACGAGGGGCACTCTCCTGGAGGTGCACAAACCCGCGAGCTAGCTACACCTGCTCCTCGTAGCTTGTAAGGCTGCATTTTTCACAGTGCCTCGAAGCCTCAAGGCCAGATGAAGAGCAGCATTCAACCCGCCACCGCTACCAACGTGCGAGCGACCCAACGCACACAGAGCCGCCGCCGGCAGCTCTGGCGACAGGCGCGCCAGCAGGTTTCGGAGACTCCAAAGCAACGGCCCTTCGCCACGTCCAATCCAATCCAGGTCAGAGCCAGCACCGTGCCGCGATGGCTCTTCAGCCTCTACAAAGCAAATCCGACAGTGCCACCCCAGACCCTGCACCAGCACTGCCGATTCTCTCATGAAGAGGGCAAGAGTTGAGTGGGCACGAAGAATTGCTGACTTAATTCCGCTGCTAGCAGCTTAACAGTCCATTGAGGCACAGCGTAAGCCTGTATACTGATGTTAAGACATGATTTTCAAGGCTGCCAATTGATTTCTCATGAAAACACAAATTCACAAGAAACTTTTTTGTCAAAAGAAAAAAAAAAAGTGGAGACAGGCTTGTGTTTCTAATCCAAATGTACTTCTCTTTATTCAAACCAGGGGTAATCACTGGTTAGTGCAAAATGCACCTAAACCTTTTGCCTGAGGGAAATCTACATCTTAACAAGGCCTCCGTTAACCCCAATGAAATCCACAGAGGATTTGAAAGCGTTTGAAGCACAGATCTAACACTGCGCTTCGTAAGTGACTCTGTGCGTCAACAAGTCTGCACCTGCCTTGTTACCAGTTCTATACCATCAGGTAACAAAAGCAAAATACACTCAGTAGATTTCTTTTAACTCCCAGAGTTTCTGAACCATCCGCCCCACCGCTAATGTCAGGAGTAAGGGGGTTGCAGCTTACCCTCACTTCCAACAGTGCTAACGGAAACCCTGTTTTAAATTAAAAAATAAGCCAGCATACATAGTAGAAAATTTCTCTTAAAAATTTCACAATCTGTAAATGTATATATTTTTTTCTTTTAAACATAAAAGTTTACAATATACGGTAAAACAAAGGCTCAGGAAAAATAATTTCAAAAAAAAGAAACCTGAAGTTTTGAATTAAAGCTGAAGACATTTTTAAAACCCTGTAGTTTGAACCAGTGACATTTTCTTTATTTGTGCTGATGGGTTAGAGAAAGGAAAATATTTAAAAACTGCAGTCCAAACACCCACAGCTTTGCCTTCAGAAGCCATCTTCCCCCACCCCCCCAAAAAAAAATGTTGTTAGGTTTTTCTTCCATCAAGTATGTGATTGTCACAAGTTCAGAAGTCTGGGATTCCTGGGTTCAGCTGGTACCAGACATCCCTGTGTGGACAGAATTCCCTGATTGCCAGCCCACGCTAGCGCCTGTAGGGGTGAAATCCTTGCACGTTATGGTTCTGTCCTCGTCCAAAACCACTTCCTCCTGCAGGTGGGCCACTTGATGGTTGCACCGAGGGGCCTCCGTAGGGAGGGGGTTGCTGGCTGGGATCAGAGAAACCTTGTCCAAAACCACTCAAGTCTTGTCCATACCCTGGGGAGAAGGGAGAAAGGCGGCAGAGTAAGCTTCCAGTGTCTTCCACACGCACAACAGAGGCACAAATGCAAAACCTGATGCCGCTCCCTCCCCCCATGCACGGCCTCAGGACCAGACACCTCTGTCTAACACGTTAAGATAAGCAGCTGCTTTCAGTTCTTGCGATTATCTACCTTCTCATACAGAACAAACAAGCAAAAAGCCGAACTGAACAGGTATGCAGAAATGGTCGTTTTCACTTTTGAGGTAATCCTACCCAGGCTGGTAGTTAAACTGTCCTATCACGGCTGTTCAGAAGCTTCAAGTGGCTTGCAGGTTTGCTGTCAGCTCATTCTGAATAGTTGTTTTGTTTTGGGTTGGGTTGTTTATTGGCTAAAAGCTAGTACTGTCAGGTTCAGCGGAGATGAAGATGTGGCAAGGAAGTTTTTCCTGAAACCTCACAGCTATTAAACTGCAGCGCCTCAGACTGACTGCACAGAGTTACTCGACTCTGGCTTTGTAGAGCCAGCTTCACCATCTCCCCTGGACAGTCAAAAAACTTCCTTCGCTGAAAAGACTCGCTGAAGAAGACAATCTTAAATTCCCTTTCAAAAAGCAGAGTACTGCTGCCCGAATATATATATATTTTAATTAACTAATCAGCCTTTCTTTCAAGGAATACTCAATTCAAAAAAATGTAAATTGAAACATGAGGGGGCAAAGTTGGCAAAGCAGAATCCAGAAGGCTGCGACTACTGCCCCCGTTGTATACTTTATGATGGAACCCTTGGTCCAAATTTGCCCTTAGCAAGAACTAACATCCTTCCCTGAAAACTCACTGCACGGGCAGGCCGAAGTTTATCTGTTGCAAGTTCAAAAAACAAAGCTCCATTTCAAAACCTGACACCCTCCCGCTACTGCAGATGGTGGCGAATACTTCTAACCCGGCTAAAGAGCAGCAGCGGTCAGTAAGCAGCTATAAAGCCCTTCTCCCACGTCCCCTACACCACCAACTGCATCCGAGTTCAGTTACTTTTAAGCCTGAACCCGTGCTGTCTCTCAACTGAAGTTTACGCTAACGCATGCTGCAAGTTAATGTTTAACTTGCTCTTCCTCCATCTGAGGAACTAAACACTTCTCCTCTCCTGCCACACTGCCCTTCCGCCTACCCAGCGAGGCTGCGACCACGCTCTGCGACGTGATCCGTGCCAAAGACCAGATTCAGAATAGGTTTAGAGCAAGTAGAATTTGGGGATAGGGAGAAAGGGTGAAGACAAAAGACTCGCTGGAATTCTGGCTGCCAATATGAAAGACAACTAGATGTAAGTTAAGGACACTGAGAAATTTAATAAAAGCTCCCGTAATTAAATACGACTCTTAATCGTAACAGTGGCATCAGTGCAAGCCTCTGCTATGAAAAATGGTATTAAGAATCCTAATTACCAAGTACATTTCTGCAGTTCTGCTTCTCTCTATGCAGGCTTAAAGCAGGTTTAACTCTCTTAATCCAAAACAAAGTCTCTTAGCATGTCTTCAGTATTTAAATTTCAAGCTCTGCCTGTCTCTCAGGACTTGCTACCACTAACGAGCCTTAAAACACATCTATCACAGGCTTCTATTAGCTCAAAATGCTAATCCAGTCATTTTTTCAGACAGAGATAAGCAGGCAACCAAAAATACGATTTAATTGTTTGCCAAGGGGTGAGGCTCGGGGGGGGGGAATCATTATTCTCACTGTACACTGCAGTGTTACAGCATTAAGTGGTGGAAACCACAGTTCTCAATTTGTTTATCACAAAGGAAACCTACAGCATAAACCTGAACAGCCAGACATTTCAGTACATATCGTCTCCCTCCTGCTTGCTTAATTGCTGCTGCAGCTCTCGGCTTGCACCAGCACCTCACAGTGAAACACCGAGGTCACCTGCCGTTTCAGAGGGCTCTGCTCTCTAAGGGCCGACCATTACGGTTTTACTGTCTTGCTTAAGAACCTGAGCTCAGTTCGATCACACAGGATAAAGCCTCGCCAATGCAGCAGCCTGGGAAGTGAACAGCAGCGTCATTCATACTTCAGTCGTGAGTTTTCCCTTCAGTCAGCTCATGAACATAAAGAACTGTATTGCCCTTACTCACAAAGTAAACATTTGAGCCGCATTGTTCCCCCCCACCCTCTTAAAAGAGACCCTGCAAGAAACCCAAGTTAATTTCCCAAACGCAGATATATCAAGAGCATTGGTTGTAAATAGGCACCACCTACCTAGGTTTCTCACTGCTCAGCCTGACCAAAAGAGTGTAAACAAAGTATTGGCGCGTAGCCTGAAGGGTCTTGAGAATAGGTACCCAGCCCTAGTAAGAAATGAGGAGACCAGGGTGACGAACCCCAAGAGAGCCCTGTACAGAGATAATTTTTCAGGGTGAGGGAGACACACCCATGTTAGCGTTTAATTTACTAGTGTTTACATTCATCCTAGCTGTAAACATAGCAGCATTTAAGATGCTGTCAAGCCAGGACAAATCTTAAAATGCCACAACGATTAGGTAACTCA